CTTTCTGACTTATATAAGCAACAAACTAAGCAAGTTAATTTGACCGGATTCTGGTTTAGATACATAGTGCTTTGACTGATACCTTTTGCTCATGTGAGGGGCAGCACAAGACCTGTTTAATTTCTTGTCATGTTTTTGATTTCCTGAGCTCAGAGGGTATTTTCTCTCAGGAGAGAGTCACAGCTTGTAAGCACTGGCAGAAGTCTTGAATAATTTTGAGAAGCAGGACAAAGAGCTTCATATTTTCGAGGGCAGGTTTTGAGAGAGCTAGTGAGAAAATGATTTTTCTGACCCAGGTATCATGGACCAGGAGTCTGAATTAATGGGAGATTAGCCTAGAGTTTCAGCCAAGGAATGGCAACCTCTAAATAAGTTGGGCAGGTGTGTGCTCTTCTCATAGCTTTAAAATCCTTTTCATCTTACTTTTTCCTTCTGTTGTAAAAATGAAACATTACGTTGTTTTTCTAAGATACCAGTCTGGTTGTTATACTAACTGCTCATCAAAACTCACAAGTGAGCGCTTGCAGATATGCAACAGGAATGAGCCTGCTGATTAGCCAGGCACGTTTAATCTCATCTAATCCTGAGAGAATGATGTGCTTCCCTTCTGGGACAGATGAAAGGAAAGAGGAGGTTAACTTTCAATATAGCTGTTACTGTGACCGCTCATCGTTGGCGAAGTGACTGCCTGGACACGGAGCTTCGCTAGCTTGCTCTTTCTGATGCTGGTGTGGTAGTGGTAGGCTAGCTCTGAACTCTGCCTGCTCTCTGAAAATTCTCAAGCTGCTGGAATAAATCCTTCTCAGTAAAAGGTAAAGAAAGTTACTATGTGGCCAAATTCCTTTAGGGGAACTTTGAGAAATACTGTGTTTTATAACCAGGAAAACATGGTTGCAGGGAACTACTTTTATCATATGGCTGCTATTGGATCACTGCTATCCAAATGTCAGGGATTTTAGATTTCTGCTGGTTTTATCTATGGAGAAAGACTTTGAAATTTAACTGAATGTTCCACCTGATTAGCTCAAGGCTAGCAGCAGATGACAATGAATGCAACTTGGTAAATACAAATTATGCTTTTTTAAAAATTACTTGTTGAACGGAGTCCACAAGCAATAAATAAAACAAAAAGTGACACAGGATTCAGCAAATCATAGAATCATTTTGGTTGGAAAAGACCTTTAAGATCATCGAGTCCAACTGTAAACCTAACGCTGCCAAGTCCACCAAATGAGGGTTTGAGTTCAAGTTCCAGGGAGAATGTTTTCACCAAAACACCATGTTACTGTGGAGAGAAGAGGGGGGAAACAATTGCTTTGCAGGGTGGATACGCTGAGGCTTGCAGTTACTCTGAATAACTCATTATTGTGCACGTGTGTTAAATCCATACCGTGCGGACTCAGTGACACCACTTAATTTTTGTTTTCGCTAATTCATAAAATTTTTGTGGGAATCCCTAGCATAGGCTTTGATGGCTATTGAAGATTATCTGGTTTCTAGCAAACTGAAGCTTCGTAAATGAAGTGAAAGCTATTGGCATTGGGACTCAGGGTTCTCCTTCCCTTGCAATTTTCAGAACCATACTTCACAGTTAAGTGCCATACTTAAATTGAAAATGCTGAGGCTCTGTAAGAGGTTCTGTTTTGTTTCTTTTTTGTGTTTGCGGTTTTTTTGTTTGTTTTTGTTTTGGAAGTCCCCTCCAAACATTTAAACTGCTTACACAACAGTGCTTAATGCACAGTTCTTATATATTGAGAAAGGAATTTTTTTTTTTTTTTTTTTTTTTTTATATTACGATCTGTTCAGGAATTTTCTGTTACTTCATCTCCATGGGAACGTGGCTGAGGGGGTGATCAGGGCAGGTTCTCAAGCAGAGCTACACCTGGCATAGCACGAGATATTCTCAGACTTGTGTCTCATTTGTGTTTGACAGGAAACGTGTTTGTAAAAATGCAGCTGAGGGGAAGGATTTTAAACTGTTAACCTCAGCTGTTCTTGGGGTTGATGCTGGTAGATGCCATGCGAACTCCTGGATGGTAAAGCTTTTCCTACTACATCTAATCCAATGATTATGTGTGTTGCTTACTGCACACAAAAAAATTGTTATTCACTGCTGTTAAACATAATACATGCAAAGCCAGACCCTCCTCCTGTATTCCAGCTGTTTGATATAAACTGTATGTTGGTGTCCTAAAGCAGACAGTTAACCGAAAATAAAGATGTAAACCTTTGTCATTAAAATGTCTCTTTTACGTCTGTTTAGCACTTTTACTAAAGCTGATCCAGACCCTGCAGAATTGCTTTTGAAATACAAAATTTTTGCAATTCTGGACTGACAGGCTAATGAGATTTCATATACTGAATTTATGGGCAAATAAAATTTTGATGAATAAATTTCTATACATCCCATTTTGTGCTCTGTATTTTAAGTAAACAACTGATGGACAAAATCACTTATCGAATGGAGTTGCAGCTGCATCCATTTCAGTCTAATTTCAGGGAAAGAAAAATTTGATGCTGGTAAGAGAAACACAGGTCAGTCGTGCCCTTCTGAATGTGGTGCATGAAACTCTTAATGACAGTCTGACAATTCCAGGAATCCAGTGTATGAATTGTGGCTAACTTGGTACTGATCATCTTCATGTGTAGTGACTGTTGTGGGCTGACATATTCCAAATATATGTTGTAACTATATATAACTATATATGAGGCAAGCTTAGAGATAAGCCGTATGGATTGTTAATCTTGACTGATACGCTTATATTATCATCAGTCCCTTAAGACATAAACAAGCTGCAATTATATTGTCACAGTTTTACACATCAGGGAGAAGGCTGTCCTTGTCTAAATTGTCTTAAGGACCCTATGGTTTTGAACCCTGAAGTCCCACTCGTAAGAGTAATAGGGCTCCTGAAAAGTGCTGGAAAACTCCCAAACCAAAAAGAAACAAAAAGTTTGGGAACTGCTCAGACTCAGGAATTTCAGATATGCAGTTTGTCCATCAGAACCCAAACAGGGCAAGCTTGTAAGCGCATGGAAAAAAGAGCTTGACCTGTGACAGATGTGGGTCAATTAAAACAAACGTTTAAAGTGCTGGGCTTTTTTTCCTAATGTGTTTATTTTGCATTTCTGCTTGAGATTTTGGGGGGTTAACTGAGCCAATCCTCTGTCCCAAATTTATTTAGAGAAACTAAATTGAGTTTCAAAATACTCCTGTGATAACTGAGCAGAATCCAGTTGAGCATTGTTATGTGTATTTCTGGTTTTCTTCTTTATTGCCTGGCATTTATTGGTATGTTTACATGCAGCTCTAACATACTTCGCCTGATGTTTGTGCTGATGACACCAACCATCGCTTGAGGCATCACGTTTAGAGCCTTGGAGTGATGAAAGGGGGTTGCAGATACAGGATGAGGAACATTTTGTTTACAAGTACATTTTCTTGGCAGTCAGTGGTTGTTAGAGAGGAAATGCAGATAGTCTGCTACTGGTTAAATGGGCTTTTAATGAACTAATCCCTTTCAAAATATTCAGGGCAATGGTGGGTACTTTATAAAAGAAATACTGTAACAGTCCCAGTATATACAAAAGCAGTAAGCGCTTGCTGCTTTACTCCCATTCCGGTGAATATCAAACAGATCCATGGTCAGGGCAGAAAGGGTGGGTTTTCACTAGTCAAATGCAATCTGGTTTTATTTTGTCATCTTTGAGGAGCCATGAGCTCAAATGAAATAACTGAAATCTAAGCTTCTTTACATGTTGCCCACAGTGCAATACTAGCAGCTCCCTAAGGCAGTGCTAAATGACAGCTACAGAACGCATTTAGACGTGAAAACGCCTGTTTATTGACCCTCAGAGGTGTGCCTGTTCTGCTGTTGTGGGGTCGTAGGGAAGGCTTGGCACAGTGGCCTGTGTCCTGAACGTCTGCATGCGTGGGGCAAGCTTTCTGCTTCTAATCTAACAAGCTGTAATCAAAACCCTTGTGCTTAGGAGAAATCCTTGCAAAAAGGAGGCTAATGTATTTGTTTGCCCTGTGGCAAATGCACTGCTGCCAGGCAAGAGCCTGCGCATTAATTCTCGGGCTCTTGCCGCCTGGCGCGGAGGAGACTGGCTGTGCTGAGCAGGGCTAGGATGCTCGTCCCTTTTTTACGTTGTGTCTTCCAACAGTGTGTAGCACTGTCCTATTAATCTGTGAGCCTGTAAAATATTGCTAAGTGAGTGAGGTTAGGTCAAATCATAGCTCGGATGAGAGGCTTCCAAAGTAAATACAGAATACTGCGTGACATGGTGATAGGTGGGACTCTCTTTTCTTTGTAGAGAGCAAATGTGTAACAGTACAAACAGCTGGCTCTGTTATGGTCCCCTTTCAGATACGTCGTAATGTAGAGGCATTGAGCAGAGGAGTTAGAAAGTCTTTTGGCATCCTTAGTCCATAGGGAGACTCCAGCCCGATTCCAATGACCTAATTCTGCTGTGCTGAATTCTGCCTGCAGCCCTTGTTTGAGAGGGGTATTTCCCTGCGTGGTTCTGTAAAGCAGTGTTGTAAGACTTTTATATTTTAGCAGATTGTATAGGGGTCCCACTCTAGTGTTCGTAGATAGCTTTATGACTTCTTTTTATGGTGGATGGCGCACACATCAGAAAAGCAGCCTGGAGACCTCTTAGCTTTTCAGAGCCCATCCCTGTTCTTGGCAGTAATGGATGCCCCTGCAGGCAGGGGATGCCACGAGAAAACTGGAGGGTCCTCAAGATTTCAGAAATGGGCTCTGCACAGCTTGTCTTTAAAGAAGTAATTGTTCTCTCCTTTACCTGGGGAAGAGCCTTTTGGATGTGGATATCGTGGCTCTGGTGAAAGGAGGGACATCCAGCTGCTGCTGGATGTGGGCGGTGGGTTTCCTGGGCAGCCGAGCCCTCCTGGTACCCCACTGCCCGCAGAGCTTTCTGTTCCCGTGCGGAGTGAAGGATAGGGGTTAAATATCAACTTACATTACAGTGATGGGTAATTCTTCATTAAACAACAGAGTGGATTTCTGAAATACTGGGAAGATGGTTTGGAAGGTAGTGATATCACCGAGGAAGTCATTTCTCGGGTTGAGTTCGCTGGTTTTTCTTCCCAGATCTATTCGTTCCCAGTTCTGCCCTCTGGGCACAAAGCATATCCCCGAGAGTTTTGGAGGAGGGAGTCACGCGCTCAGAAATGGGCTGGCAGCCGTGCTGTCTTCCCACACTCGCTTGGGTTTAGCGACTCTTGGGATTTTCTAGGTACAGCGGGTGGTAGCACTAAACAGGACTTTGCATTTTCCAGGGCCGGCGTTCCTGAAGTAGTGGTATTTGTAATGCTGAGGAAATGGAGTCAGCATTTTTTCTGATTAAATAACTGAGGTATTTGAACTTGACGCATCCCTCTCGTTCCCTCCCTTTCTCACTTTCCTGCCTGCAGTGCCAAATCTGTTCAGGGAAACCCAGCCAACGCTAATCATTATTCCAGAAGCATAAACCTCCTCAGCTCTTATGTCGTCTTGCTCCTCCCGAGAGACCACGCTGGATGACTGTGAGCCCTTTCCCCGCCGCTATGTGTTGGAAAACTTGTCACTGTGACAGTTACAATACCCCAATTTTGACACCTGATGATGGAAATCGCCGCATAATCATGAGCGTGACAAATATTGAGGGCCTTGTTTGATTTTTATTATGCTGTGGCAAAGTTTTCTAACCAAACACCATTTTAAAAGCAGAAGCACTGTAATAAAGAAACCTTCTTCCATATTCTTTCCACAGAACCTTGTCATTAAATATTCAATTAGTATGTTTTATTTTTATTCTCTTCTCCACAGGTTCTGTATGCAGAAGAGTGTCAGACTGGTGCCAGGAGTGACACTGGATTTAATAGAGAAGTAAGCCCAATTTTATGATTATTTTTTTTCTTCCCTGTTGCTCTTAATTTCCTCATTATTTCTAGCATTTCTTTTGTTTGTCTGCGAGGAAATTTCTTTGGAAAGCTTTTCCCAGAGTCTGTACCTACCGTATTTGTCATTTCTTGCCTTACCGTGTATTGCTGAAATAAGCAGTGGCCATAAAAGCGAGCAGTCGCTCGTGGAGCGGCGCCGCAGGGGGAGTTAGGGCTGCGCCGGGGCTTTGCTCGGTGAGTTCAGAGTCCCGTAGCTCTCGCCCCTCGTGCTGTCATCCCAGACTAGCCAGAGAAATAGCAACTGCAGACACAGATTGTGGCCATGTTCCTGGAAGTCCAGCATTGAAAAGTGACGTGTGGCTGGTTTTGGCGTGGGTTTTGACCATGGGAGCATTGACAGAGGAGGTGTGCTTGTGCACGCCATGTCAACAAAACCAACTAATGAACAGAAAAGCACTTAACCAAAAATACTGGTTTTTACTTCATCACTACGCTGCCCTACTGTTCTTTGTCTGATAGTGGTGTCATGTTTCAGACTTGATGTCATTGAAACCTGTTATAATCTTTTTATCCAAGCAATATGTGAGCATAATTACTGGTTCTCAGGCAGCTGAGGCAAACTGATTAACCAAGACAACTATTCTTCTAATTCTGCTTCAATTTATACAGACAAGGTAGACTTTGAAATAATAATAATTGTCCACTGTAGTCTTTGCTGTTTTGTAAGATTTTTTTTTTTCCTTTTTTTTAATTTTTTTTTTTTTTTTTTTTTTTAAAGGGAAGCATATTCTTAAAGACAGGGCAGTAGATACTTGCAGCCACTAGATGCAGGAGTTCTGTGCTCCCTGCAGATTGTTTTTGAATGCCCTGTTCTTGGAACATTGATACACATACACAAACTGCCTGGGAGTGCTTAATTAAAGATCATTCGTTCAATTTCTGAGAAATTGATTGTATCAGCTAAAATTTCTTGTTCAGTTTTTACTTTAGTAAATCATTCCATGTTAACTTCCATGTTTTACATTCAGATGAGGTTAAAAATGCTTCTTAATGCTACTAGCTCTTCCACAATATGTATTTTAGAATAGTCAGGCTCATCAGTAGCATGTAGGTATTTAATCATGCTAATTTTGTATGTGAAAATTTGATTATCCTATCTCATCTCAGTTGGGGAAGCTAAGCAATGATTCTTGTAAAGCTGTATTTCAGAGGCACTAATCTTATCAAAATAAAAATAATTTTTCAGGTTACAACTAAAGTAATAGAGAGAGGACCCCAGCTATCAAAGGAAGTGTTAGAGCAGTTTTCAGAGATGCGTCAGTCTAGGAAAAGGTCCACCACTGGAAATTTTTTCTCTCTGAAAGCCATTGTGAAAATGTGGTGGGTTTTGTTTTTCTTTTGGTTTTAAGGAGATGAGAAGCAAGAAGGAAATCTACCTTGGGGGTTAACCTTGCTTTGCCTACGTACTCGGAGGTGTGCTAACAGGGTTTTTTGGTGAGAAGGTTAGATGGTCCTGAAGTTAAAAGCTATTTCATGGTAGAAAAGTTTGTAGTTCCCTGACTGTTGTTTAAATGGGCAAAGTGGAGGGGATGTTGTTTTGACCATCTCTGGCGGTTGGACAGCAAAGGTAACCAGAGATTCTTCCTGAACCGATGGGCTCATCATTAGCGCAGACTGAGATCACCTCAGGCCACTGGATAAATGTGTTCCAGAACAATGACTATATTATGTTAATTGCAATTAACATATTGCTACAAGAGTGTATCTAATCAAAGAACATATGGTGAGGGTCAATGAAGGTCTGAGCCAGGTAGCTCAAGAATCAGCTTCACAGAACACTCGGATGTGCTACTGAGGGTTAAATACTCTGTAAGTAATGGTTTACTGGCAAAAAAAGAATTTTCTTCAGTGTTCTTGATTCTTGTTGGTAATATCACAGCACACATGCGTTCTTTAAAGGCTATCTTCATGGAAAGCGTGCCAGAAGTAGGTTCCTGTGGATATCAAATATTTAAACCTCATCATCATAATCTGCTACATATATCAATTATAGAAAACACATGTTTTTTATTACAGTCTCGAGATAGGCCTAGAATACTTCCTGGATTGCCTATGTGTATATTGTAATTTATAATTTAGTTGTTAGAGTTTATGTTGCAATTAAGCTGCAGACTTTGAGATGAAATTAGGCTGCACCTTCTTTGAAGGGCTCAGATTTCTAATTATCTAGGCTAAACCAGTGTCCTGATGAATAAACATGTGGTGTATCCTGATGTGCATTTATATTACAGATCTTCTGAGATGAAACCAAAATAATCCCTAGTTTAGAAATAAAGATCTTTGCTGGAGCCAGACAGTAAAATGTAAAGAAAAAAGGAAGAAAAATTATGTTGGTGGAGTGCTAGGAATTTAGGAACCTCTGGCTGCCACTTCGTAAGACTCTTCAGTGGCAGCATCAATGTCAGGCATTGCTACTGCCTTGGTTGGCCTTTTCTGCTTGATCACAAGCCATCCTGTCATCTGTGCTGGCACAACTTGTCGAGTGGCTGCTGAGTGAAATGAACTGGGGCTTTGTTCTGCTTTTTAAAAATTTTGGAAAAAATCCTAAGGAATGGTTTTACTTGGTGTAGGGTGGGAATACAAAGCTGGGTGCCAAGAATCAGGGATATACAAAAATGCTTTAATCTGTATTGCTGCATTAGGCTCCCTCTCCCGAAATCACATTCTCAGGAGAGCAAGAACGGTATATTGCTTTCCTGGGGTTTTTTCCCTGGGTCCATTTTGCAGAGGGAGGAAATTCTCTAAACAAAATCCTGGTGACCTGAGAGCTGTTCATGTTCTGGAGGGGCCACTTAGAGGACAGTCTTTTCAAATGACCACATGAATATGGTACCACGATTCGCTTTCATGAGTGGAAAGGAGCCTAGTCCTTGCTGTCAGGGTTTTGTGACAAATGACCTTTTCTGAATGTCAGCTCTGAGTCACGTAGGCAGGAGCAGTGTGGGAGAGAGTCGTCTTGCTGCAGCCTGTGCCGGTGCTGTTCTGAGAGCAGAGAGCCCAGCTCTAGGCTGTCAGTCACTAGCACAAAATCCATTTATAAAAATCACTAGAAATGAGAAATTTGAGACTAAAATTAGTTTTGTTTCCACTTTAAGTATTGTCAAATGTCACAGACTGGAAATTACTAACGTTTTAATGTCTATTGATTATTGATGAGTAATGGTTCAGTAGGAGCCAATTTAAAGACGAAGTAGGAAAAATAAAATCCCAAGACATCACACAGCAGAAGTAATGTAATTGGAGAAAATGTAGGAATTGTACTGTAGTATAGCAGATACCTTTGGTGCATGCCCTCAGAACTTAGCTGATCAGTTGCCTTCAGGATGGTAAATGGGAGGGCAGGCGAAGGAGAGCAGCTGCTTAGCATCAACTCTTTTTTCCCAGGTGATCCCCGTAGTGAATATCAGCCACTCAGGTCCCTTTTAGTAAATTTTCCTCTGCCAGGCTGGTGTCCTGCGTGTTGTGGCTGGAGGGATGGAGGTTAACGTCGCCTGGGACCGGTGGGGGTGGCCGCGCGCGTTGGTGAACGGGGAGGTGCAGAGCCTGGCCCCGGCTGCCCCCGCCGCTGCGCGGGGTTAGCGAGCGTTGCGTTAGCACGCTGCCCTCAAAGTTTAGCGCGAACAGCAGCTTTTTGCTAACTTTTTGAAGTGAGCGCATCAGTCTTGGGAGAGAGTTTGTTGTGTGGAAAGTCACTGGAAATGGTGGTTTGTTTGAAAAAGTCAGCAGGACAAAAAGCTTTTAAGTATGGTAACAGTCTTACTGACTGCACTTCGGTTTAAATAAACAAAGTTGTTGTTGCTATGTAAGCAAATGAGGCTAAATGCTAAATTGAAATTGTATTTCCATCAAGATACACTATTGCCTTCTAAAATACACTGCCTACCTGGTGCGAGGAAATAACTGCCAGAGCTGCTGGTATTTAGGCTTGGCAATGAGCAAGGTTCACAACTAGACGGAGAAAGGCATTTAATCAAAAGAAAAAAGTTCTTGACTAGACAGGCAAATACTGTTGCCTCTTGGGCAGGTGACGAAAGGCAGTTGAAGGCAGAAGGGCAGTTCTGATGCTGACAGGACCGTGCTCCCTCTCTAGCAGGTCTGTGTCATCACAGCTGCCACAAGTTAAGATGTCTTGGCAGATATTTAATCAGCCACGTGCTAGTCCGAATTCTGAAATACTGCAGCCTGTTTTTTTTTATATTTATTATTTCATTTATAGTGGAAAAACTATAATTCTTAGTTTGCCTTTAGACCCAGGTTAGGCAGCTTTCAGCCCTTTATTTCCTTCCAGAAAATTCAGTAGAAGGCGTTAGAGCATATTTCAGAATCTAAGTGTTTTAGTGAGTAGTATTAGCCAGAGTATAACAAGGATGCTCTGCCACACTACCTGTTGGTAATATGTCGCTCATTAGTACTTGAGTTGAGGAAAAACTTTGCTTTTGAAGATGTTATTCTGAAAAGTTTCTCTTCTGTAATAAATCTGGTTTTATTGAAATGGAGTATTTAATTTTATCGCCATTGTTACAGGGTATCAGTCTCTAGTGTAGGCAAAGCCTATTGTAAATACGAAGTGAATATCGTACTCAAAAGGATGGTTTTCATGGCAACACTTCTTTCATATCTATATACAGAGAGATGCCTGAATTGAACACCAGTGTACAAAGCCTTACAGCACTCTTGAACAAATAATTTAAGAACCTCAAACGTTTTGTCTTTCTCAAGGAGTTTGCCAAGGTTTCAGGAGCCCAATCATGGCATGCCTGTATCGTTCATGTTTATTTTGTGATGAGGACGTGTTGTCTTTGAGCACGTTAACTATGTTGATCCTGTCTAAGCAGCCCTTGCCAGTTCAAGAGATTCCGACGGCATGTATCCTGCCTGCGTTACTGTTTTACCACTTTCTGTGATATACTCTCTCCCTTTTTTCCC